GCCTTTCACCGGCGTCTGGATGGGCGACAGCAAGCTGTGCGCCATCGGTGAGCCCGCGGGACCGGGGCTCTGCCGCGGACGGGCTGGGACAGCTGGGGTTGTTAAGCCTGGGGAAGAGAAGGTTCTGGGGAGAATTTACAGCCCCTCCCAGTGCCTAAAGGGACTCCAGAAGAGCTGCAGAGGAACCTGGGACAAGGACCTGGAGGGACAGGACAAGGGAGAATGGCTTAAAACTGCGAGGGCAGGGGTAGATTAGATATTGGGAAGGAATTGTTCACTGTGACAGAGGTGAAGCACTGGCACAGTTTCCCAGAGACACTGTGGCTGCCCCATCCCTGGAAGTGTTTAAGGCCAGGTTGGATGGGGCTTGGAGCAACCTGGTCTAGTGGAAGGTGTCCCTGCCCATGGCAGGGGGTTGGAATTAGATGATCTTTCAGGTCCCTTCTATCCCATACCATTCTGTGATTCCATGTGCACTTTGGCAGGTCACACACTGTCTGGGCATGATGGGGACATACCTTGGAGCTATATGTCCCAGGGAGGGTGGGGGTGCACAGAGAAGCAAGCAGAGGTGGGGTAGGCACGGGGCAATATGCATCCAGGACAAGGGGACGGCACAATTTTGGACCTCTGCAGCTCACCCAGGGCTCAGCACCCTGCACCCCTGCACCAAACTAGGCCCTTGCACCCAGGGCTGGATGCCTGCAGCCTGGTTCCCAGCTTTACCCCCTTCCCCTGTTCCCCTCCACAGCCCTGTATCCTGCACCCCTTCCTGAAGCCCTGCACCGCCAGCTGAGCTCTGCAGCCTGGGTTTGGAGTCCTGCAGTGCACATCCCCCTTTGCAGCTCAGCCCTGTGTCCAAGCCCGTTTGAAACTCCAGTGGCGGGAGGTGCTGGCGTGGAGGGAGCTGCAGCCCATCTGCCCCAAATCTGGGGAGCCTGCCTGTGGGTTAGGGGTTTACCCTGGCAAAACTGGGGAGTACAGCTTGCAGGGTGGGGAGATTGGGGTTATAGTGATGTGGGCAGTGTAGTTACTAAATATCTCACACTGGGGCACCCCTGGAGGTGGGTGCTGATAGGTGGTGCTTTTGGCCCCTGCAGGTGTGCATTGTGGGAACTACATCACCTCCCATGGGCTGGCGTTGAACTGCTGCACTGACCTCACCTGGTTCGACCACATCATCCCCTGTGGGCTGGAGGGGAAAGGTGTGACCTCGCTGAGCCATGAACTGGGGCGGCACATCACTGTCGACCATGTCCTCGAGCCCTTCCTCGACTCCTTCCAGGAGGTGTTTGACTGCACTTTGGTATTTTCAGAGGACCCTGGGGACTAGATGTTGTGGCGGCTTCCTGGGGTGTTACTGTGAGACAAGCTCACGTGCCTTTGCCTACAGACTGTGTGTACATGGTGGCACAGAGGTTCAGGCTGTTGCTTAAACATCCAAACCTCCACCGGGGTTGTCTCCCCAGCCCTGTGGGTCTCCATCCCTTGGCTGAGACCTCCAAGGGTATGACATCCCCATCATTTGCTGGGGAAATACCCAAATAGGTGCTTTTGTGGTTGTTTTCGTACTGCTCTCCCCTCAAAAATCCAAAATTTGAGTGAACACTCATGCACTTTGGGCAAGAGGAAGAAGGACTGGTCAGTTGAGCGTCTTCCCTTGCTGATGGGTAAAGAGAGGCAGATTTTATATAAAGAGAGTTGCTGGGAACTTTTGCTGCTGATCCTTTGCTTGTTTATTTACTCCAAGACTTTATGAATAACCTTTTTCTTGCACTGAGCCCAGAGAAATCCTCATGTGGCAAAGATCCTCGAAGTGGTGTTGGGGAGGGTGGAACATGGCTGATAAGAGGCTGTAAACGATGGTCAGAAGGCCACTGGGGTGATGCCAATGCAGTAGGAAAGCAGGAGGAGGAGGGAAAGGGGTTGGGGTGCCCAAGGAGGGGAGCCACAGCTGTCGCAGACCATGTGGGACCACACAGCATCCCAGCTGGGTGATGGGGACTTGCTCCTGCTGGGTCCGTGGTGCTGGAGATGTTGCTGGGGTCTGTGTTGGCATTTCCGAAATTGCTGTCCCAGCTGCAGCATCCACGGGGCTCACAGCAGCTGTCCTGGACAAAGGGACACAGCCACCCCGGGGCTGTGGTGGCACTGGGGTCCCTGCCCATCACTGCAAACCTGTAGGGACACATACAAACTGATTTTAACCAACAGCGTTTGAAAAGGGTAGGAATGTCCCCTGAGGCCGAAGTCCCCACACCCTGCTTAGAGCAGGACCTGACTCCCACCTGCAGCCCCTCACTGCTGCTCTGGACCTTCCTTCTGCTCCATAAGGTTTGCTGGCACCTCCCCATGAGCCACCCTAGGGTGTCTGTCGGTGGGTCCCCACCCTGCAAGGTGGGCGATGGGTGCAGCTGGGAGCAATGGGGCCAGAAGGGTGCAGTGGAGCAGGGGGGGAAATCGCATTTAATGGAGCAGGCTCAGCTCCAGGAGGGAATGGCGAGCAGGGAAGAACATGCCCCAGCAGGCTGGGTGCCGGTGTGAGGGCTCAGGGGCGGTGGGGACGGACAAGGAGGG